CATCAGTGGCCTGGGATCCACTGGGCTTGTAACTTGGACCCATCCTTGAACTTTCTGAGTGTCGGCACATTCCGGCCGCGGACCCACCAGCTCCTGATGTGCAGAGTGGAGAATTGCTTGCTCGCGGCGAGCGATGCCATCAAGAAGGCATGAAAGACTCGTTTACCCACATCCTGTTTCGAGGGTACAAGCCATTACAAGCCAGCTTGGGTCCACATTTGTTATATGGTCCATCATGGTCCTGTGGAGGGCCCAAGGATGCCTGGTAAAGATTCCAGCCTGGTACAAAATCGAAGCCAAGTCAAGTCTATAGTACTTATAGTACTATTATACCAGCACCACCCAAAGAGTTGATACTGTATATTAGATGGAAAATACATCTTCAGGAGATTCAGGGGGGTCTATAAACCACCCTACAACTGGGTGGTGCTGGTCTATATAGCTATTGGGTTGGGCGGCTGTCACTGCGAAGGGATCCCCCAGCGAAACCACGGCCGTCGCCAGGACACCGCCATGCATTGCCCGTGCCATGAGGTCGAAATGCTCAAAAGAATGGGAGACTAGCAGTAGCATTGTAAATTAACATAATGGTTGAAACACGGTACATCTAAATATCTATATAGGATATATGCCAGTATATTCCAGTCCCATGGATGGTCTGGGTCATGCAAAACACATGGGAAAAACTCGCATGGTTTCGCACGGCGTCTTCGTAAGGAAAGGCGATTGATTAGGGGAGAAAAGCACTTGATTAGGGATTCCACCAGGATTCATGTTCCCACATGTTCCCACCAGGTTTCCACACCTTTCCCCTCTCCACCAAAGGGAAGGGGTTGAAGGGGGAGGAGGTGGGGAGTGGGGTGGTGGTGGCGGCTGCCGCCGCTGTGAGCTGCTGCCACTGAGCTCGCTGTGCCTGGCCAGCAATGTGTGTGTGTGGAAGGTGGATGGGCATACCAACCTGCTGTAATATTGGCAGGAACCTCTCCTCAGGAGCTTCTCAGGTTTCCATCATTGAATTGGATATCAGATGGCCAAGTCCCAATACACTCAAAATATATCTAAATCAAATCTTCGACTTGAGAGAGCAGGGGTGAGCGCAAGGTTGGTAAGGTGGGTTGCACCACCAATTAAAACAACCTTATTCAAGCACTTTTCAAACCTATAATCTTACTGCTATCTATGATGTTTGCCAACTCCTACTGGTCTGCTTCACATTGATTTACAGCCTTTCAAGCTGACAGTTTTTTGTTCACAGTGATGCAGCCAGACAAACAGACTGGTTGAGAGATGTGGGATGATATTGGTGTGTATGCAAATAGAGAGACCATCCCAGGTAACAACCCCTTGGATGAAGGAAAAAAGACCAGTCTACCGCAGTCTACCCAACCAGGGGAAATTGGGTATCTCCCTATGATTTGAAACTTCCCAGTGTGAAAGCACAACCCTTATCTCAAGCAGGTCCTGTGGTCTCTCTCCCTCTCTCTCTCTCTCTCTTCAACTTTTGACCAGTTTCTTAGCTCCAAAGATGTGACCCCTAAGTGCTGACCAACTGATGATGATGGGGGGGTTCCTTTCAGTGCAGGAGTTGGGGAGAACCCTTTTCCTCCAAATGCTCTGTGTAAACAGGCCTTTCCTGGTCCCTCAAAGTGGCCTCCATCACAGAATCATAGAGGGCAGTCGAAAGTCCATCTCAGGTGTGTTGCCAGCTTTGCGTTGCTGGAGGTGCAATCGAATGGTTTGACTGGGTTGGTGGATCGTTGGTTTCGACCAGATTTGTTTTGACCAGGTTGTTACTGGTTACTTCATGGCACCCATTTGGAAGGTCCTTGAGGAACCTCTTCAAAGATCTTTTGCATGTGAAGGACCATTTCCATTAAACAACAAACAAACAAACGATGCTTTCAACATCTTTCAACCATAGCAATCCTCATGGGTCACAAAGCTTCCTGCCCATTTTGGGCTCTTTGATGAATCTCAAGGATTCTAGGAACCCAGGAACAGCTTCCACCCATGGAGCTGCCACCCGATGATGATGTTGGCCCTTCCATTGCCATGCGGCCTGGAGCAATGGTGATGGTTCATGAGGCAGAGCGCATAGAAACTCCTGCCAGAAAGCTCCCACCTCCCCGGCTTTCAAGAGAAGAGCTACTGCTTCTTGTTTTGGTGATTAGAACATGGTTTCAACTTTCCCATGAACCTGATGTTAAGGTAGCCCACTGCACCACTTTGGGTTCACAAAGACATGCATCAACCCAAGGACTCCAGAGGACAAGGTTGTGGCTTGCTGCAAGAAGACATGTGCAGCAGAATTCCGCTCAAACCTTGCAAGGGTGAAGGTTGTGGAAGACCTTTGGAGTTATATAGCAAGATCATAAAAGTTTTATCTTGGGTGGAGCCATGGTAGTTTGGGTTCCTTTTTTGCCCAGCCTAGCAATGAATAACATAGCAGTTTGTGGCCCAGGACTTGCGTGGTGAGATGAACAAGCTGAAGAATGAAGACATGAACCACTTCATCCTGGGAATTTTGCAGCGGCTACCTGCAGAGAGAATTGCGCCTAAGCTGCCAACAATAAAGTTTGCTTACCAACTTTCTGTGTAGGTTGTTGGGTACAGTGGTGAACCTTGAAGATTTCACACCCCAGTTACATCTTTGTTTTGCAAATCTCTTCAAATGAAGGATGGGGCCACTCGAGTGAGCTATGCTCTTGCTGGCTTCCAACTTTGTGAGCAAGCTTTCTGCATTCTCTTGGGCATCAACCAGAAGCGAGCCACTAAGACTTGAGCTGTGCACATGGTTTTATTTTGCTCATCTTTCCCATAAAAGGATTTGGGGAATTGATAGTGCTACCACCTAGCTTGCCTGGACAAGATCAGGTTAAGCGGTTGCTTATTGGCCTCGAGAGCAATAACCTGCCTACGGATATGCGGAAATTCAATGGCAGAACCACAAGGGAAAAGTCCAACTCAGTCGATGCCTTTTTGACATATGTCTACTGGAACATAGTTCCTGGCAAGGGCACAATACCATTTTGATATCTTTTTCAAAGGTATATAGGTATATATACAATAAAACCATAGTAAACCACCATCCAGTAAAGATCATGCTGATTGGTTATTTTTGTGTTTATTGAAAATTGGCCTTTTGGTGAAGGCTGAACCATTGGCTGAAACAGCTCCAGTAGAAGAGATTCAAACTGCAGCTCTTTGTGCATCTGGCCTTTTCCTTCCCGGCGCCTTGGTGGCAATGCTACCAACTTTATGATGCATATTCAGAGTGGGGTCCCAGGTAAGTTTTCCTTGCTGTCCCTGTGTTGGCAAAGGTACCAAATTTATGATGTGTATTCAGTGTGGGGTCCCAGGTAAGTTTTCCTTCCTGTCCCCCTGGCCATGCTACCAAATTTACGATTCTGTGTATTCAGAGGGGGGGTCCCAGGTAAGTTTTCCCTGGCCCCCTAGTGGCAATGGTACCAAATTTATGATGTTTATTCAGAGTGGGGTCCCAAGTAAGCGTGACAATCCAACCATCCAGTCATCGTGCCAGCAGTCCTTCTTGGCTTTCGTGTCAGGAGACCATGAAGCCAGTGATCTTTCGATCCTTGGGTGTGATGCGAATCACCGTGCAGCAGCTTTGGCTGAATCGAATGTGTGTGCAGCAGTGGAACTCATCGCAAATGGGAAGAAGGATGACCCTAGTGGAATCTTGGTGGCAGAAGCATGATATTGGTTCTTCTTCCTGTAGCATTCTTTTCCCCAGTGATATCTGTCATGGAGGAACCCATTTGACCACCCTACAGTTTACAAGTAACTGTTAAACATGAAGTAACAGCCGAGGTCTGCAACCCAGACACATCCAGCATATGAGTTTGGAGGGCTTCCATGGTATGTACCAGCTGTGGTGTGAGGGGAATGGTGTGGCTGAAGCAGATGCTGCAGCAATCCGCTGCTTTTCAAAATACTATGATGATCGATGGAAAAGTGTCTTGAAAATGCGGCACACAAGCCAACATGCCAGGCAGGGCACAAGTCTATTCTTTTTCTGTCCTAATTTCTTGCTTGGTAGCATTTGGCGTTGGATGACCAGTTTATACACATAATATTAATATATACCACTTTGGGGTGGGGGTGGACTTTGGCTTTGTGTTGGGCCCTTCAGGTGTACCCAATGCAGTGAATTTACAGCTCGCGTGAAGAATGTCACCGATGAAGAATCCAGGGCTCAGTTGACCCAAGCCCAATCAGAGCACATCAGGAACATTCAGTGCTACAGGCAGTGTCAATCAAGGCTAGCTGCATTGAGCCAGCAAGCATGTACCAAAGAAGGCTCGTCACCTGCTGGTTCAATCCTAAAGTTGGATTTGGACGGCCTTGACCAGGCCAAGACCAGGTTTCCTCGCAACACCATCCACAGCAAATCTTTATCCAATTGCTGGCGTCCTATGATACACATGCTGGGCTGCCTGGTGCATGGAGTTCCTAAGCCCACTTCCCAATGAGATTGTCTTCTTTCCTGTTCTTAAGCCCACTTCCCAATATTTTCTAAACATGTTTTGACACTGGGTCATTAGTCCTTTGATGCTCTGGCCCCCTTGTTTAAGGTAATGGAGGCATACTATGTGGTTGAGCCAGATGTGCCAAAGGACTCCTCAACTGAGATCTCATGCATCCTACGAGCACTTGATTCAACCAAAGAGATTCTTGATCGCCGAGGCATTGTTATGCCTGAGCACTTGGTCATCGAGGACAGATTTAGGATTTTTTGGAAAACATGGGAATATAGTAAGTTTCAATATGTTTCAATGGTTGGTTTTCCCATGCCTTTGAATTTGGACACCTCAAACCCTGAGACCGACAATTGCCCACGTGAGGGAAAGAACCAAGTGATTGCAAAATTCTCAGCCACTGCTGTCACCATGGGCCGGCTCCCCACCAGGAACTGGCTTCAGCATTTTTGTATTTTTTAATCTAGGCCAGGCCCTAGGAACCCCCATACATTCCCTTCAATGCATTCAAGGTTCAGGAGCGTCACACATGTCTTCGGCGAGGTTGGCCACACACATGGGCCAGTGGACCAGCGCCTGTCAGTTGCAGTCAGTGCACTCAGCAGGGCAAATGTCATAGAATGCCCAGAGGACAGGCCTTTGTCAAAAAGATGTTTATCAAACATATAATATTTTATGTTTGTCAAATGGAGTTCTTTTTCAACAAGCTTGCACACAGTTTCTTCCAAGTTGACACCCTGTGTGGAGGACTTTGTCTCTGTCATCAAGGCCAATGTGACCCCATGCAAAGGGCGTGAACTTGTTGTTGAGCTGCTTCCTGGGTCTCACAACTGGAAGGAGTTCTATGAGCAGTACTCCCTGAACATAGCGGGCCTTGTGCCAAACCCACATGTCAAGGACAAGTCCCAAATGACTGTGAACCATTGCTGGCGTTTTATCAAGCGGTCAGCACTTTGGCTGTTTTGAATGAATGTTTTACTGTCCATTTCAAGCTGCCACATTAGATCAATTTGATCTTCTACTCAGTTGGTGCAATTTTTTGACCCATCCCTGCCCTCAATAATTCCTTTTTGAAGAGGGGCATCCAATTGAATGTATTTGGGGTGGTTGTTGGGCCAAGGACTTGCCACTGTATGATGACAAGTGTGGGGATTCATGGTGTGCGAAGGAGATTTCTGGTGATCCTCAGCTTCATCTCTAGCAGCCTTTAGACATGTGGCATTAAACGTTTCCATGATTTATGTAAGTTTCCAAGCTGTTTACCAAAGAAGATGTCCATTTAGTGTCGGGCCCAGGAGACCTATGACAAGTCTGACAATGACTGTGTCCTATTATTGAAGCACCTGGTGAATAGTGAATCCTTGTCGCAACCACCTCTGATCGTCCTTCCTGAAGCTTTCCGGTCCAGGCTTCAACAACCAGTGAAGGTGCTGCCCAGAAACCTTCTTGCAGATCGTGCCAAGAAAGAGTCATTTATCCCAATACATGTATTTTTTTAATTTGTTGTGCCAAGCTGCTGGTTTTGCATAGGGCTCAAAACTTCTGAGCGTATCTTACCTCAGGTTCTTACGCACAGCAGAGCTGGTGGAGCAGGACCCCTGGCTACTCACAAAGGCTGCAAATGCTTTGAGAGGGTGGGTTGATCCTTACCTTTGCAAATGAGACCTTTTCTTTTAAAGGTTCACCCATCATACCCATGATGATGGAAATCACCAAGTAAAAGCCCCCAACTAAACCCTGTTGGATAAACAAGCCTTGGACCTCTGAGGATGCCAATGAGAGGCAAAGTTGGCCACCAGTTCCCCTGCCAGATTGGTGGTTTTCCACGGAAGGTCGGAAGGTGGGTGTTGTGCCCAATCCTGAAGGGTTTCTTGGCTGGTGAAGATCAAAGTAAAGCTTTCAAAAAGGGTTGAAATGTTGAATGTAAATGTGCTTAATAAGAAGATCTAAGAATTTGTTCTTGATCATTTTTTCTGTGAAATCTCAGGTGGGAGAAGTATGCCCCTGGACCAGTGCGGAATGTCACTGTTGCTCCAGCACCTCCTGCCCCTGTCCCTGGTGAGCCCAAGAGGAGGGGTCGGAAGCGCAAGGCAGACAAGCAGGGAATGGAAGGGCAGAGTGGTGCTGATGCTGAGGTCTATGAGGGCAAAGCGGCAGTGAGTGGTGCATCAGTTGCAGTTCCAGCACCACCAAAAGAAGACCTTCAAGATATGATTGCAGGGCGTGGTAGTGAGGGTGTGATGGAGGAGGAGAAGGTGCCTGTAATGCCTGCATTTCCCACTCGGTCTACATTTGCTGGGCGGACCAGGACTGGAACACAGCAGTATCAAGAACAATGGGATTCTCGCAGGACTGCATACTATTCATCAGTGCCATCAACCTTTTGGAAAGACCATTTTGAACGCCAGTACTGGACGTTATGCTCAAGCTTGAAAGACCCTGAGGGTGCCATGAAGCAGTTCCTTGAGGACATTGGGTTCAAGCCTCTACCACGACCACCAGCCGCGCTACCCAATGAGCCCAGTGCATCAGCCAAGGTGCAAGGGAAGCCAAAGGCAAAGGCAGCGCCAAAGCGTGGGCATCCACACCGGAAGCCAGCCTGCAAGGCTGTGGCAAAGCCAAAGCCCAAAGGCCGCCCGCGTGGGAAGAAGGCACAGCATATCAATGAAACTTGATGTGCTTCTTTTTGGGGAATGTAACACTGTGGGTTGCTGATGGTCAGACTATCCAGTGCCCAATGGTGTTTTGGGGTTGGGGAGATTTGGAGTGAATACCCTCCAAGCGAATCTTCTAGTGTGATTGCAATGGCCATATGACCATATGGCTTCAATTTGTGGTCTTGTGCGGGATTACCTGCAGCAACATGCTAACATGAAAAAGGTGCTTAGAAAACAAAGGCCCGTCTTCACTGGTCCTTGAGGTCCCTTCTACTCTGTGGTGCTTCTTAGGTGAAGTGGGGTGTGACAGGACTTTCATGTGTTGAATTTGTTTGTGCGCTTTAGATGTTGAGGCCCAAATGTCTTGTTCTTTTCTTGGGGCGGAGCAAATAAGAGATCAATAACCCACCTGTTTATGGATATAAGAGATCAATGACAAACAAGTCTGACACAATTTTCTAGTTGTGCCCAACATGCCTCTTGAGCTGCCCATGGATGATGAAGGGCCTGATTTTGATCTTCAACCAAATCCCCTTAAAAAAAGGGAAGGAAGATTTGACACCGCTCCAAAAGCCAAGAAGAACCCTGCTCCGAAAGCCAAGTGGAACCCTGCTCCAAAAGCCAAGCAGCCTGCAGTGGCATTTGAATCAGCTCCTGTGTTGAAGCGCCCATCCACCAAGCGGCCTGCCTCAAGTGTGCAGAATCTGGTGGAGTTGCCTCCTGATGATGAGCCTGGTAGTGATTTGCTGCTTTTGGGAATAGCGCCATCACGGAAACGAGGCCTTCTTGTTGACACCCCGGAAGACAATGAGCTGAAGATGTATGATGATACCTCCCTCAAACTTGCAGCACAAAAGATCCCTTCTGTGGATACTATGCCGTATGATGATCTTTGGCCTGTATTGCGGGGGTACAGGGCTGTTGAGGAGGACCTTCAATGCAACCTGTGGGAAGTATACAGCATTCCGCGAATGCAATCTACATTGATTGCTATGGGTGGCAAATGTAGGAGGTCTTTTGACATTCGCCACTTCTGGGACCTTGGTGAATGTTCTTTCCAAAGGACTTTGATGGTTGACTTAGCAACTTTTCAGCCTTTATATGTGATGCTATCACCTCCTTGCACATGGCTGTGCGCTTTGATGCATTCAAACTGGCCAAGAGTTGACCGCTTCAAAAGAGTCATGAACTTGGTACAGGCATGCAGCTTCATTGACCATGCCATGTGGATCGCAATGTATCAGCATGAATGTGGGCGATGTTTCGCATTTGAGCACCCCGCTGCATCGTTGGCTTGGGATCGTGCAAGTGCCCCTTGGCTTTCTAGCTGGAACCCTAGGAAGCTAAGAATTATATGAGTATGACTGGGCTCTTCTCCTTGCCACATGTCTATGGGGAGTCCCAGAATATGGGCTGGATGACCACTAGGAAACAAGAACCCTTCTCCCAATTGTTCACTTTGCTTGGCACACTACCCTTGCCCAACAAAGTGGAAACTTTGCAGATCGTTCTGAACACCCTGCCAAAAAGGGTTCCCAAATTTCTTCTTAATAACATGGGAACCCTTTTTCAAAAGGACAAGGTTGGGGGTTGCTCTTTGTGCCCTGATCCAGTAGGCCAAGTTACAGCAGCCAGCGAGTGGCAAAGAGATTTCTCAAGACTTCCTCAGATTACCATGCATACCAAACGTGGTTCCCCACTTGACTTCCGAAAAGAGGGTCCAGGTATAAAACTCAAATTTCATCCTCAAAGTTAAACATGTTATTTTATGTTGAAAGACATGCTGAACCAGTTGAAAGCATTCAGGAAGGATAGCAGGGTCAGGTTGCTGGCCATGCTCCTGTACCAATCTCAGGTCCAGAAGGTCCAGAACATGACCAACGTCTACCTGGCAGAGTTCGACCAATGCCAATTTGGACTTGTTTCAAAGGAAACCCGCACACCTGTCAAGAAGCGGACAAGAGTCCTAACCAACTGTCAAACAATTTTTAATTCTTTGCATAAGAAGGATTGCCCTGGGGATCATGCCCACCAAATCATTTCTGGAAGTGAGGGTGGCTGCAAGCGCAGTGTTGCTGCGCAAGAATACCCTCAGCCAATGATTGATGCCATTTGCAAGGCAATCCTGAAGATCTGACCTCTGGGTTCTGCACTTGAAAAGGGGTAGCGCATTGGCATTTGATTCAGGGAGGAAAGATCTACTGATTTCGATCGAAATCAGTAGAAAATGACAAGATTCTGCCCACCCAAATCAATTGACTCGAAAAATCATCACTAAAAAAAATCCACTCAGTAGATCTCAGCATCACAAATTTCTGATGTTGAGATCTACTGATTTCAATCGAAATCTGTAGATATCCTAGGGTTTGGGGACTGCTCAGTAGATCTGGGGGTTGCAAATTTGTGATGCTGAGATCTACTGAGCAAGGTCAAAACCTAGGGACATCTACTGATTTCAATCGAAATCAGTAGAAGTCAGGTACACAAAATTGTGATAGTGAGATCTACTGGCAGCACCTGTTTTTCCAGCATTTTGATTTGGGGTCGCGCACTTGGCAATGGCGATGATGGAAGTCAATTCAGGGCAGACAGATTCTTTTCTTGAATGGTATTATTTTGGAGTTGAAGGCCCTTCATTACCAAAGCCACTATTGAATCCTCCCATCACCCACTGTCAGTGTGACAGCCCCTTCATCCAAGGTGGCTGATGCACAATCGGACAGCGCCACATTGAGTCTACCTGGGTTGGGATCACCAAGCAAAGGTACATCAACTGAGCTCCATGCTTTGGAAACTCCAGTGGATGAGGTCTATGATCTCATAGCGGACAAGATCAAGGGTCCCTTAGATAATCATTGAGTAAAGGTTGATGTCTATACAATGAATGCCCAGAAAGAAATCTCAAACGTTCCTTACAGAAGGTTACACAATATCTGCAATATATTTATATATGACTTCAGGTGTTGGTGGTGCCCGCCAATATATTCATTCCATATTCCCAGTGCAGAAATCTCGCCGTGAGCACCTGAGCCAGCGTTTGGAGAAGCTGGTGCCAGAGCTTCCAACGGAGACCTACCAGATTGCCTATCCTTTGACTGCTTGCCTGTCAGGTTTCTTGACTTATATGAACCTTTTATTTCCATACTGGACTTGAACACACGCCTGGGTTCATGCCCTTGGTGGGGTGACCCTTTAAAGTGTTGGTGGGGCTATGGATGCAGTTGCAACCCAAAACCATTTCACCAGGACAAGAGGATGGTGCACCTTCAATGATCCTGCCAGTTGAGCTCTTTTCTTTTGAGAACAACTCATCACTGCGAGAACCTCCAAGTTTGGATGTTTCGCTGAAACTGTTGCAGCAGTTCAGTGTAGATGGCTTCCTGACTTCCATTGAGCCAATCTTCATCCGCCTACCGGACTGAATAAACCATGGGTGAAGTTGGTATTGAATTAAAAGCCCACACTCCATGGCTGCAATCAAGACCTGTATTTAAAAACACTGTAATTTGTTCCTTCCCTGCAGGAAAGCCACTTGACTCGCGCTGGTGCCATTGAGAATGGCAGCATCGGATTCTTGAAGGGCTGCGCCAGGCTGACCACTGCAGTAGCTGCTGTCCTTGCTTGTCATGAGCTCGGCGTGGAGGACTGGTTTTTGAAAAACAAATGCCATCTAAGGTTTTGGTGTGGCCTCATGTACAAGGGCAGCTGCACTGTTTTTCTTAGGGTCTTGTAAAGGTCCCTGTAAAGAAAAAAACAACACTCATTGTCATCCCATGTGGAGGTCCCTAGTCTTCTTATGCATGGGCTTCAATCCATCAAGTGCAAGTATGTGAAGCTAAGCGATACCCAGTCTGAGCTGTTACTTGGACATTCTTGGAAGGCCCCCCCATAAAATGGAACCTTGATAGTTAGCGGGTGTTCATCTTTGTGGGTCCCCTGAATGACCAAGTTGCTTGTTTGTGGAAGTGAGGTTTTGGAATATGAAGGCTTCAGCCAGGGGTGCCATTCGGAAGCAACCTTCAGCTATCTCTTGGGTGATCTCAATCACCAACCTTCAAGCATCCAGCAAGCACGTTGATTTTGCAAACCTGGTGAAAGCTTGGTTTCTTTCAAGCACTTAGCCATACAAATTGTGTTTTTTCAAAACTGTTTTGGGGTCAGTGCGATTCTGTCAATTGTGCCCAGACCTTTCTCTGTTGGGAAACAAAGGAACAACATTGCAGCCAAGCACGACAAGTTGGTGGGAGCAAAGCATCAAGCTGTTAAGACGCTCTTTGAGATTCCAGTGGAATGCAGAGATGAAATATTGGGTGTGGTGAGCTTCTATGGATGGGATGGTTTCTCAAAGACAATATTAATTGCATATTTCTTTGTTGGATGTAGATGCTGTTTGCTAAACAATCTAAAACATTGACACTTATATTTAATTTCTTTGACTACTAAGGCTGTCCATTTAGCGATGACTGCCTCAGTTCCAAGAAGATCCTTGCCAATTTCAATCACAAGAGTTCGCGCTTGCAAAAGGGCAGCCCGTGGCTTAACCGCCTGCGCAACACACCTGAGAGCCTTCTGCTGATGTTCCAAATGGTTGCTGCTCAGCATGAGCAAACTCCAATCAAGCAACGGCGCAAGCTGACACGTTCAGAGCTGGAAGAGAAGGCTACTGTCACAGCCTTGGCGTGTTCCTTGGCTTTGCTTCACCTGATTTTGTTGTGATTCCTACTGCTGGTGATGTGATTCCAAGTGCCTGCTGGTTTGATTCTAAGAGTTGAGCTGCTGAGGCTCTGTGGTTGAAGAGCTATCTTTGCAGATCCCAAATGTGGAGGCACCCTTGCAGCTCAAGTTTCTTGTTTATATTGAGCTTGATTTGCAAAATGAATCACCCAGGCCCCCCCACAATGCAGCCCCAAAAGGTTCTATTAAGCTAAATGATTTGATTTTGGATTCTGTGAAACTTATGATGCAGTTGCCTCATTTCAAATCAATGCAAGGTTCTTGCAACGGCTCCGGGAGGGTGA